CCCGCCCAACCCCCCCGCTGGCCCCCCCCCCCCCCGTGTCCATCTCCACTCACCACTCGGGATGGAGGGGGGCGCCGCGAGGGGTTGGGGGATGTGAGACCCCCACGAGGGGCGGCTTTGGGCTGTGAGGTGGGGGTGCCCCCAGCCCAGCCCCCATGGCGCCGCCGCCCCACATCACCCCGACCCACGCAGCCCCCACACTGCGGGAGTGGGACTTTGGGGGTCCGCACCTCTCCTTGCAGCATGGGGGTCTCGCAGGCTGTGGGGCTGCACCCCGGGTCCCTGTGTCCCCCACCCCACGGACCCCCATTCTATGGCTGTGCTGCTCCATCAGCAACTGCACAGCTGCACTGGGGGCACCGGGGGGCTCAGGGGGGCACAGGGCGCCCCCACGATGAGCCGGGCCCCCCCACGTGGCCCTGTGCACCCCACACTCTGCGCACCCCATGCTGTGCACAGCACTGTGAGTGCTGCCCACCCTGGGCCCCCCCAGCACCGTGGGTACCTGTGGGATGGGGGCAACCCAGAAACGCAGCACCCACGGCACCGAAGCGCTCTGGGACACAGCAGCTGAAGCACTGTGGGGAACCACAGCAGCACGAGGGGGGCACGACTCTGCACTGGGCCCCCCCAGCACCTGGAGCACACTGACCCTGTGTTCACCCTGTGCCAGGGCGGCTGCAGCGCGAGGTCACGGCGCAATGCAAGGACGGCTGCAGCGTCAGGATCCCGTGCAATACAAATGTGGCTGCAGCACAAGGCCACGGTGCAACGTGGGGTGTCTGCAGCACAGGGTCATGGTGCAACGTGGGGTGTCTGCAGCACGAGGCCGTGGTGCAACACAAGGACGGCTGCAGCACGAGGCCATGCAAAGCAAGGCCGGCTGCAGTGTTAGGTTACTGTGCAATCTGAGGATGGCTGCAGCTTGAGGAGCTGCAGGGGGCTGCAAGCTGCAGGCTGCAAGCATGGCTGCATCGTGCTGGGCACCGTGAGGCCACAGCACAGCAGAGATGCGGGGCCGGAGTCCCACCGCATTGGAGCACCAGGGCTGCGTGCGGAGCCAGGACCCCCCGAGCAGCCCCACACCAGGGGTGGGCGCACGGCTGGTGGGACAGAGGGGGTCCTGCAGGCTGGGGGCAGAGTTAAAGGCAGCCATTCCCTCTCTCCCTCCGTGCTCTCCAGGCTATAAATACCCCAGGAAGCACCGCGCTCCCCAGGGACACACAGGCAGCTCCGCGCCAGCCGCTCCGGCACCTGCTGTGCACCCAGGGCACCCGCTGGCCCTGCTTGGTGCCAATGGGGTGACGAGGCACAGCAGGCACGGCACGGCACAGTGTGGCACAGCATGGCAAAGCACAACGCAGCACGGCACGGCACGGCGCAGCACAGCGGGCGCAGCATCAAAAGGACAGCACCAGCATCCTCCCATCTGCTGAGCACACAGATGACAGCCAGCACCGGGCAGAGCCAATTAGCCGGGCACTAATGAGCGCTGCTCATCAAGCAGCCGCTTGCCGCCTGCATCCCAGCACCGTGTGGGTCCAAAGTGCACCCGCGGCCAACCCTGAGCAGCAGAGCTGCGCTCTGTGCCTGGCACTGCCGGGATCACAGCTGCCCCATAGCAGGGCTGAGGGGTGGCAAGCTGGCAGCGTGCCCCACTGCCCTCGTGCCCCAGTGTTCCACATGGCGGCTGGGAGTCAGAACATGAGCTGCGTGGTGGTAACAGCTGTGCCGAGAGCCGGGACGCCTGGTGTGGGAGCCCAAGGCCTGGTGTGGGGCAGCCCCACAGCCCCGGCCTGATCTGACCCCAGAGGTGGCTGCACCCATGGAGACAGCAGGCAAACCCCTTTCTGTGGGGGGGATCCCAATGTGGGGGGGGGCTTGGAGTTCACAGGCTGGGAGTTCGAGCAAACCGGGTCCCTGTGGGGAACTGCGGTGCCGGCCGTGCAGCCCCGCATGGACCCATATGGGCAGCAGGGCGCCGGGGGGCACGGCGTCACCCAGCAGTGGGGCAGCCGTGGGGCACACATCCCCAGCATCGTTACCCCGGCCCGACCCACACGTGCTGCACCCCAATGCCTGCCTACAGGGGTGGAACCGCGCTGCCCCCCGTCTCCCCCCACGGCGCGGCGCTCACCGTCCTTGCGGTAGAAGCAGATCTCGACCTTGCGCTCCTCGGAGCCCAGCAGCGCCTGGGCGATCTGTGCTGCCGCGCTGCGCTGCGTGCGGGGGCCGTGCAGGAAGTCGCAGGTGCAGGGCTTCTGCATGACCTCGGCCCGCGTGTAGCCGCACAGCTCGCAGAAGCCATCGTTGCAGTAAATCACGGCGCAGTTCTCCACCCGCGCGTTGGCGATGATGAATTTGCGGCCTGGAGGGGGCAGAGGGTGGGGTCTGATCCCGGCCGTGTGTCCGTCCAGTATCCATCTAGCCACACGGATGTCCTTCCATCCGCCCATGCACGCGCCCGTGTGCCCATCCATCCATCCATCCATCCATCCATCCATCCATCCATCCATCCA